CAGCAGGAGTTTGAGCAATGGCTGTAGAATTTACCAAAAGTCAAATGTTTAATAAATTACACTGCATTATCCTTTCCTTGGAATTTGTCTTCATTCCAAATATCGACTGAGCCATTCTTAGTGAGAATGGACAGAAAACAGAGCATCTGCCAGGCTGTTAAGAAACTTTCAATTGTTCTTGACATTAATTCTAGCACAGTAAGACAGATATTTCTGCATTGGTTGATAGAGTGACTATAATAATTTCTAACTTCCACCAGCATTTTAAAAAATCTGTGCTTCTACCTGTTTCCCTTTTCCTAGCTTAAGAATTACTAAAATATCAGTGTGTATGACATCCATAGTGACATCAATCTGATGTCATCACATTCCGGAAATATTTGACTGCCTCTGAAATTACCAGTAGTCTAAGAAGATGCAACAGTTTTGAAAAATGCATTAATTGTATACAGTGGGGTAGCTCCTTAACTAGTATGGATCAGCTTGACCTGTTTAAGTTCTGAAATGTCATTGCTGAAGATGTACATATATATACATATAAACATACACATGTAAATAATATACCTGTTAATAATGTTATTTTAAAATTCTTCTGAAATATAAGGCATAAAACAAGGCAAGAATAACTTTGATCATTTCTTTTAAGTAATCATATTTTTTACATTTCTCTGGTACATTTTGAAATTGCTCTTTCAAAGGTGATCTTTCAACTGATCTCCAAAAGTTAGACAATATATATGCTCAGCCTAACAAAAAATACTTCCTTAGTAAACAAAAACAATGGGTCCCTGACAGCCAGATTCCTCAGCACTCCTCATTCCCTCACTGAGACTGCTAAAAGGATTCCTAATTTTTTCCAGAGATAAAACATAAGCTCTGCAGCATAGGAGGTTTAATTTCTCATTCAATATTGAACATTTTTTCTTTTTTCTTTTTTTTTTTAAAAATTACTTTCCAGCTATTAGTTGATGCTGATATGTCAGAGGTTGTTTTTGAAGTTGTATTGTTTTACATCCCTGTGGAAGATGTGAATGAGTAGATACTTTTGGTATTTCTTGTATAGCTAATGTAATCTTCTTATCTGTCTGACAAGCTTAATAGGTTAGTGTTCTGTTTATTTATATTCCTCTTTGGCTCCAGTATTGATTATCTTTTCTAAACAAAACCAAATAATAGATATTATGTAAAACTACAGACAAAGAAGAACGTTACATATTTCTATCTCAGAAATAGACTGAGATAAAGAGCTGACTGCTGCACAGTGGCTCTGTTGCAGTCATTTCCTCAGGAGAGGTCAGATGCAGCTCTACCAAAATGCTGAATACGCAGCTCAGCTATGTGCCCTAGCATCTGGTAGCACAGCTCTGCCTACCTCAGAGCCTGAGAGTTACTCCAAGATTTGTCTGAGGGTCTTGAACTGAGATCCCTATGGAAGAAGAATAACTGATAGTAATAACTGCATAACTGGTAACTGAATAAACTGAGAAATCCTGGGAAAGAGGAGAAAAGCAGGGACCTGAATGCAGCCCCTAAATGGTTCAGTGACCTAAGCCACCAGATATTTTGCTGAAAGTAGAGAAATACGGTAAAGTTACATATGTTTTGGGTTTGTTTGGGTTTTTTTATTTTTATTTTTCCTGGCTACCATCTCTGAATGGATTTTACCCTTAGAGTTTCCCTATAGCATACTTATCCAAAGATGCACAAAGTGAAAAGATGTTCACATTTCATCGTAACCATTTTTCTTGCCTTAAGACAAATGAGATCCTGAATTATACCATTCTGCATAGCCCTACCATCGCCTCAGGTAGTGCAAGAGGCTGTGCCTCTGTAAGTGATGTTAATTAAAGAGTGGCTGAGGCCATCCGTTTCTTCTAGCCCACTACCTGTGACTGTAATCCTGGTGTCTACTACTTTGAAAAGTAGTAGACACATTTGCTACAATAATTCTATTGTATGAGTGGGATTAAAATGAATTTTTAAATGAGAGACATTTCTGGCTGAATATAAGCTTTTTGTTTCTAAAGTCATAAAGTTGGGTGTATTTTCAATGGCTTTGAAGACCTGTTGAGAATAAAGAACAGGTTTTGAAGTTCCATTAGGTGTTCAGTTGTGGCTTCCTTTTCCAAGAAATGGGGAAAGGGAAAGGAGAAACAAAAGCTGAGCTTCTTCCAGTCATTCAGTTCCAGATCTCATTGCAGTTAAATAGTGCTGAATTATCTGCGGAATTTAATAGGTGAGGTGCCAGTAAACTTCTTGCCCATCTGTTGGCTTGCCCAGTAAGACTTAAGAAAAAGGAAAGTTAATGACTCTTTGAAAAGTCAAAAACTTTCATAAACAATTCTACATGAGCTTCACATTTAACAAAGAAGTTTCCAGGATTTTTCCTTTAAAATCTAGAGATTTTTATATTTTTTTTTCTATTTTTTCAAACCTTGTAACTATTTGGGAGAGAAGGGAGTTTTTTTGTACATACCTCCTCTTGAGTGAGGTACCTGATCCTGCATTCACATTTAGTTTTTTTTTAATTCAGCTAAAAGAACTCAAGTTTTCATCATGTTACCAAGTGTCTTATCTTCAGTTATGACCACAACACTTTTTGTTCCTACCAATTGTAGCTGTTGACTTCTCTTGGATTCCCTAATAGGCCAGTTAGGCAATAGCCTCATTACCTCCTTCCATCTGATCAGAACACCTTACACAGCGTAGTGGGGACCAGCAATTGGAAGTGGATGTTAAATGCAAGACTTCTTTGTACTTGAATCCAAGATCAAGCTAATTTCTCCAAACTTTGTCAGGACATTGGTATTCATGCATAAATTTTGGCACCTGGAAACTTTCTATTTCCTTGAGATCAGTGGGATCAATCAGGTTCTGCTGAAGAACCTTGCCAATTAGCTTGACCCACTAATATCAAAAGCATCAAGGATAATGTCTTTGTCATGTATCCTGATTTTTTGACCACAACATAAGTAAGCATGACAGGACTTTCCTTCTCAGAACAATTCAGACTTTATGTGGGTTGAGATTCCTCTGCAAGGAATTTGGACTCTGGATGGGCTAAATCTCACCCCATTTTGGTTCACTGACAAGGGAGGGAATTACGGCAAAGTGAGTTTTATTTCATCTTTGTCAGTTTCCTGAAGTGAGATGGGATGAAGGTGAGCCACAGCCTAGTCCAGATAATGGCACTTTAGATGTAGAGAAACAAAGTTACTGTCATTTGTTTATTGTTAGAAAAGCAGGGGATCCACAGAGTAATCTGGCTCCCAGAACTGGGAGTCTCATTTATACACACAGAATTACAACACGAATTCTAGTTTTACAATTTTTCTGCATAAAATATATCTTGGTCAACATTGCTGTGAGTACAATTCTTTGTTAGAAAATGAGCCAGAAAGTAAATAACCAAGCAATTGTAACACAGCTGAAATTAATTTACTCAAAAATTGAAATGAATATTCATTTACTGTTTTTTTCAGTGTTTGTCCAGCTGCAATTAACAATGCTTAGTTCTTGTGTAGTGATTGTTATACTCAAAGCACTTTGCATATCTTATCTATTTAATAATTATCTAATTAATCTGAGTAATTAATATTGAACTGCATTTAGACTATTAATTGAGATGTAAAGCAAAATTAAAATTGAAGTGTAGAATTTTAACAACCATTTTTGAGACAGACAGTGGTTTGGCCAATGAGATAAAAAGCCTATCTGATTTTCTCTTTGTAATATTTCTGTACAAGAGAGCAAGAACTTGTAATAATAAAAAGACTGAAAAAAGTTGACAAAATAAAGTAGATAACTAATTTGCTTTCTGCTAACTCTGCTCCACAGGCATTAATCAAATGTCCTTCCTCCCTCCCTTCCTCTCTCTCTTCCATACCATGCAATGGTACAGAGTGTGGGAATTTGCTTACTAACAAATATGCCAAAAAGGGACAATTTACACTTTGTGTGTCCATGCTGGAAGCATCCTTTTGCTGAGTATAACAGCTACTCCTTTTGACAACATTGATTTTTTAATTTCATTTCTGATGAATTATTAATAATTTGGATGAAGGTGATAGCAAAGACAATTGATTTCTTCTGCTGAGCATACTGCAAGGTCTGGATTCTTGGTTAACAAGATATTGTCCTCTAGGTTTTTAATTTAATTGCAAGATATTCTGTAGGTGGATATCACGGACAAATTATCTAGGGCATTTTAGCACAAACTGTTTTATCTTTCAGGTTCAAACGCTATAAATATAATAGCTGTCAACTGAGTTCAGAGTTTTATGTGTTATAGATAATAATCTTGAACAGTTTAAAAGTGGGGACACCCAAGTTCTTTGCTGAGTATGTTTGGACTGCTGTTTTAATGCCATTGTGGTTTATTTTCTTCCTACATTCATACTAATGCTTACTGTAAAATAACTTCTGTTGGTTCATAAAACACCAATTCTACCAAAGAGACAAGGGCAAATAGTGGTCATTAGCCACAGTCCTTATGTCTCCCCATGGGGACATGTAGTAGGTGAAAGTGAAGGAATACTTTTGTGGATGCCAAAGCCATGGTCTTACCTGTTCTTCCTTTCTCAGCCTATGTGTTTTGTTCACATTGGGAGAATGTGAGCTAAAAATTCTTTGCTTTTGACAGATTAGAGGAAAAACTACCCAGACCACCCATGGCTGTAAAAGGGAGCAAAGGGGCTCTACTGTGTTACTTCACGGGGATGAGTTTAATCCCGAAGAGACACCAGCTTTTCTACTACTGCACAGTATTCAACATTGAGGACTCATTTCAATTCTTTAGCAAGAACTGTCTCACCTAACTGCTCACATTGACAGTATGAGCAGCAACACTCACACAAGGCTTTCTTTAAACTCAGAGGAGAGAGAAGAGATACATTTAGAACATGACTCATTTGATTTGATTTAGTGTAACAGGATCCATGTTATCGGAACTACAGGATGACAGAGGCTTGTTGAGACAAGCAAGGGTTTGAAGAGTCAGTAGAACAGGGAATTGTCCCAGCATTTAAGGATTTGGTTCCTCAGAGAAGAATTGATTTCCAGTCAACTGCTGAAGATAAGACTTTGAAACTAAGATAGTGATATAATTAATTCATTTTTCTGTTGTATACATAGCCAAATACTGAAATGGCTTGTCTCATATTGAATGGTTTTAGGTAATTCACAATTTCTTCCTTCTGCCAATTAAAGATTAATACTAATCAGTACATGACTGGAAATCATTTTGCAGTACATAGTAGATGCATGAGAATCATTTACATTCTGTTAACTGTATTGATTTAAATCCAAGAGAAAAATAAAAAAGATACATTCATTGACAGAATTAACCTTTGCTGTCTGTCATGAAACACTTAGATCCCCTGTTGTATTTAATTATAGACTGCAGTAGTTGGGATGATTGTAACAAAGTGATTTTCTGATATGTTACCAGTGAGCAATAATAACATGTAATTTTTTTAAATTTATTTTATTTTCAGTGTCCCAGTAAAACATTTGGAGGCTTTGATTCCACCAAGGATCTTCCTGATGAAGTTATAACATTTGCAAGAAGTCATCCAGCCATGTACAACCCAGTATTCCCCATCAACAACCGTCCAATCATGATCAAAACAGATGTGGATTACCAGTTCACACAGATAGTAGTAGATCGAGTAGACGCAGAGGATGGCCAATATGATGTGATGTTCATTGGCACAGGTGAGAAGTCTTGATTCCGCACTGTATGCTCCTCCAGGCATTATGGAGACATTGATCAGATAAAATTTCATACCCTGAAAGACAGAACACTGATTTATGTTCCAATGTATCCCTGTGAAAATCTGAGGCA